TCTCTCTCTCTTTGTGTTTTTCTCTTCCCTACTAACACCTGCTACGCAGGCTACGTTATTTTACGTTTACACTTCCAATGTTGTGTCGTTACGACACTTTGTGAGGACGAGGGAAGTTTCGTTCCGGAAATCTTAGCGTGAAAAGCTACAAAGGCAACCAAAACCCTTACCGTACCAATAAACCTAAGTATGGGAGGCCATAGCAGTCAAAAGTGGTATGAGTTCACGACCGGTGATCAGGAAATCGATCGCTATGGTTGAGTTTATCAATTGATGATTGAAAATGTCGATCTCTGTAATGAACAATTATCGACTGGTGATTGAGATCGTCGATCGCTATGGTTGAGATTATCGATTACTGATTGAGAATGATGGTTGCTATGGTCCAAAAATCGATTGAATATTAAGACTGACGATTGCTATGGTCGAAAAAAAGATTGGTGTCTGGAAACGATCGTCCAGAGATTGACGATCCATAACGTCAACCGCTATATGGTCGAGAAATTCGGACGGGAGTGAGAAGTGTGGCAAGCCAGCAGATAATTCATTAAATCTTACATGAATTACGACATTTAATTTCCCGCCAGTAAGCGCGTGACGTATGAAAATATGGCGGCCAGCAGAAACACGTCTTCGAAGGCAGGAAAAAGATTACCCGAAGAGCTACACCACTGGCATTATCCTGTATTACGATTGCTATTGCGTTAACAATTTGGAAATCGTCCTTTAGCCTACTCTCCAAGTAGTCTAATGGAATTGAAGCATTTTCGTCAGCAAGCGCCTGATCCACATAGTCAAAGCATTGTTTCATGGCGTCACCCAACCCTGCAGGAGAAGGGACCTCCATTTACTTGTCCCTATCCGAGAAGACTAGAATATCTAACCATTTCTTGATGTTATAGAAAAGTCGAAAATTCTTCTCATTTATTTTAAGACCTTGATTGATGGTCCGGCCGGTGCTCGAACCCTCGACCTCCCGCACTACAGTCCAGCGCACTATCCATTGGGCTAACTAGGCGGCGGTTAATACTTCTTATATAAACTTCAAGGGTATTTTCAAATTGTGTAAAACTCAACGCCAGATATAGAGGTTTTCGCTTCTGTTTAGGAAGACCAAAGACCGCCTAAGTGTTTATCTTAATTAAATTTCAGCTAGAGAAAGTTTTAGATGTTATTATTATCAATCCGTAGTTGCAGCTTCCGATATTTTTAAAAAGAAATATGAAAATAATTCGTGTCTTTTGAAATTTTTAGCATGAACATTTCGTCACGTTTCATGTCTACGCGTCAATACGTGGGCCCAAGCTTGAATTACAAAACGAAATGTGAGAAACACGTCAATGAAAATAAGTGCACAGTAAGGTGTCTCCGTTGAAAGTTTGTTATAATTTTCAGCTGCTGTTTTGATCGTGGATTTTTTTCCAATCGTAGGTATGTGTGTTACGGTCATAGCGTAAAAATTAGATAAATGTAAATTTAATATGATACAGTTATTACAACTGGTGTCGGATGATATTGGTCTAACTTAGCTCAGCTCAAGACAGTGACATTGTCTTCGCAACCGCCGGTCAAGCACTGTGGGACAAACATGAAACGTAAAACGAAAGAAGAAGCTTTCCATTTTCATTACCATACAGAATCAACTGAAATTTGAGCTTAATGGTGATTTAAGCTCTTTATAATACGTCCCATTCTAATTTTCAAATGTTTATACAATACACGAACGCTTACAATGGTACGATTAGCGAAGGTTCAATGATCTCAAAGAAAGATACAGATGAGTTAATTACCCCAGGGGCTAATGAACGATTCCAGGTCTTTGTTTCTAGGCAACAGCCAAGTCTCTTTGTTATTTGACGTCACGATAAGAGCAACACTGACGCTGTAATAGATATGTGAAGTAAATATTAAGGAAAATTTGCGAGATATCGTGCATAGTTTTGCCGTGTCAAGTGTATAGAAGGTGAGTATCGAGCATCAGTTAGTGTACTACAGACATGTTTTTTTACGATGTTTCTGACCCGACTTCTCACAACACCAATGATGAAATTGTAAAATTTACTAGCATTGAAGGTAGGAGTGATGAGCACACCATTCCAATGTTTTATACTTGTGTATTTCGCGCTGTTTGCCTGAAAGCTGCATCTGTTCGTTAAAGACCTTGTTTTACTTCACTAGCTTTGTTCTATTTTAATTTGCCAGCAGGCTAAGTGCTATATTTATACGAAACGATGGACGTTGAGTCTCATTGGAAGTCCAATATCATCGGAACGAAGTGATTTTTTTGAAAGAGTTGTGTGACTCACATTTGTCACGTTCGATAATTTTTTTCACTCTTTGGATCTTAAATTACAGTAAACCTTTAGTTCCTAATAGTGTTCAAAATACAAGTCCTCTCGCGAATATCCCGCCATGTTAATGGCTCCCGGTTGCTTGAAGAGGGAGTCATCAGAATGCGCTCCTATATCGCCAACTACCGTTATGAAACTTGCTATGAATGCAATGAAAGCGACGTCCCTCATAAAATAAACGTTCTTCAGCTTGACTTTGAGAAAATGATTGGATAAAAGTAAAGTTTGACGATTATAGATTGAGCTATGAAACCTCTGAAATCTCAAGCGACTTTTGATATCCAAAATAAACCCATCAGTGTGATAATCGAGGACAACGATTAGCTAAACAAATGCATTATTCCTAGCCCGCGTGACGCTCGAAAAGATGAGAAAGGATGGAAAGGGGGGGAGGGGTGGGGGAGGACGGATAGGAACGCTCGGCTGGCGGAATCCTTCTACCTTTTAAGCCTTTCTTTCTCTCTCTCTTTGTGTTTTTCTCTTCCCTACTAACACCTGCTACGCAGGCTACGTTATTTTACGTTTACACTTCCAATGTTGTGTCGTTACGACACTTTGTGAGGACGATGGAAGTTTCGTTCCGGAAATCTTAGCGTGAAAAGCTACAAAGGCAACCAAAACCCTTACCGTACCAATAAACCTAAGTATGGGAGGCCATAGCAGTCAAAAGTGGTATGAGTTCACGACCGGTGATCAGGAAATCGATCGCTATGGTTGAGTTTATCAATTGATGATTGAAAATGTCGATCTCTGTAATGAACAATTATCGACTGGTGATTGAGATCGTCGATCGCTATGGTTGAGATTATCGATTACTGATTGAGAATGATGGTTGCTATGGTCCAAAAATCGATTGAATATTAAGACTGACGATTGCTATGGTCGAAAAAAAGATTGGTGTCTGGAAACGATCGTCCAGAGATTGACGATCCATAACGTCAACCGCTATATGGTCGAGAAATTCGGACGGGAGTGAGAAGTGTGGCAAGCCAGCAGATAATTCATTAAATCTTACATGAATTACGACATTTAATTTCCCGCCAGTAAGCGCGTGACGTATGAAAATATGGCGGCCAGCAGAAACACGTCTTCGAAGGCAGGAAAAAGATTACCCGAAGAGCTACACCACTGGCATTATCCTGTATTACGATTGCTATTGCGTTAACAATTTGGAAATCGTCCTTTAGCCTACTCTCCAAGTAGTCTAATGGAATTGAAACATTTTCGTCAGCAAGCGCCTGATCCACATAGTCAAAGCATTGTTTCATGGCGTCAAGGAATTGTCCTCGATATGGCGTGAAGGAATTGGTCTCGACATGGCGTCAAGGAATTGGCCTCGACATGGCGTCAAGGAATTGGCCTCGATATCTCCACTACTCCGATCATCAGCCGCCATCTTAGATCACAAAGTAAATTCCTGGGATACTTCCTCGTGTTAAAATACGTAAACTATCCCTCTCTTATTACCAGGCCTTTCCATTTCTCAGCTGTTCTGGATCGTCAATCTCTGGACGATCGTTTTCGGACACCAATCTTTTTTTCGACCATAGCAATCGTCAGTCTTGGTATTCAATCGCTTTTTGGACCATAGCGACCGTCATCCTCAATCAGCAATCGATAATTTCAACCTTAGCGATCGACAATCTCAATCACCAATCGATAATCTCAATTCCAGCGATCGACATATTCAATCACTGATCGATAAACTCAACCATAGCGATCGATTTCTTGATCATCAGTTGTGAACTCATACTACTTTTGACTGATATGGCCTCCCATACCAAAGCATCGGGAAAGGTGGGAGTCCTGACGCCCTCGTCTGGGTTTGACGTCTCTGGCCAGGTTATTGGTCTGTGTTCGATGTCAAGATAATTCTCTTTCGGAAGCTGTCAATAAATTTCTCATAAGAGGACCAAGGGCTGGCGGCGTCAGACGTAACTGAGAATAGGACGGGTCGACTGTTATGCATTAGCACTCTCTTTATGCTAGGCATTGTATGTTCTGACTTACCACAAAAAACACTTGTTTAGAAACATGGGCATTATTCCATCAAAGAGGAAAAAGAAAACAGTGAATGAAACTATCAAGAGACCAACAGTTGAAATAGATAAAGAGCCAGAATCCTGTAAGTAACAGTGGCAGTCTATCTCTTGCTTAAATTTATATTATTTATGATTTATGTTTTTTTCGTTTAAGTAATTTGGGCCTTTTATTATGTAAACAGGGAAGAACATGGGATTCAGGTTATTCAAGGAAATATTGGGAGAGGAATTGTTTGAAAAAAAGATGGCAGAGGCAGACGAGGTGACGAAATTCTCATGTCATTAATAGCCGGTTTCATCTTAAAGATAAACCACTTTCATCGTACCTTTCGTTTAATTCATTAGTCTGGTGATCGCCATCCTTATCATAAATGTTACTCTCGACGATACAGTTGCCATTATCTTTAATATCCTGCTGTCATCGTTTTCATGCGTAGATGAGATTTCATCATTGCTATATTCGGTGCCCTCTCAACCAATAAATAACTCTGTTTTTTGGTTGAGGCCTTTTGTCTAAATGTGTGTTTCTGTTTTCTTTCACAGCCTCCACCAGAAGCTGGACCGTTCAGTGCGTCACAGTTGGCACTTTATGTTAAAAAGTATCAAGCCGGCTTCCTTCTCAAGACACTCTTAAGACAACAAAAGAGAGGTGTGGGGGCCACTGGAGTTATAACAGTGCTCAGCAACCCTCTCCTCCCTTCCCACGACTTTTTCTCTGAGGAAAGGGTGTTTCCAGTCCGCCTCCTCCACTTTAATCTTATCAAGGAAGACGATGCCGAATTAGACGTGAGACTGGCGGCTCTCAAGTTTGCCGACAGTGACTTCGAATCTCCTTTTGATCTATTGTTGCATACTGGCGCAGAGGCTGCATATTGGAGTCTCTACAGCTTAGACAAGATGCTTAGTGCGTTGAGTGGCGACACAGAAACATTTGAGGCATATTGTCTAGAGGACCCTTGGCAGTAAGTGGCAACATTATCTGTTTACATATCCGATAACAAAATAAAAAAAAAAAACTTTACCCAACACTACATGAAAGGGAATTGAAGTTCACCTGACTTTTCGCTGTAAGAAAGACGAAAGATTTTGGGGTTTTGTTTTACGGGTTCTTGAAATAACCCTTGAAAACATTTGACAAGTAAAATTCTCGAGGGTATCAAACAATTTCATGTATAATTTGTGGAGAAAAATCACGCAGTTGTAAACGACATCACCATGAAATGTTCCTCGAGTCGTCGCTTTCAAGGTCATAGTGTGCATCCTCGAGTAACAGGCTTCGTGCACGCTTTTAGCCATATCATTTTTTTTCCATCGATGAATTATTTCTCAATTTCTCCATTCGAAAGGAGATAATTTGTACACCAAAATTATTCGATAAAAAGTATAGGTCAACGTGCTCGTCAAGATAGATACTTTATTATAAACACCTTGTAGCCATAGGTTGAATTACGGAATATTTACAAATACAGATGATAAAAAAGGAGGTATAAAATATTACAACTTTGTCGTTAAGAAAGAAGGAAAATGATCTACATCTTATAAATATGGCTAAAAATAAAACTGTTCTTAAAGCGCTCGGTTTTGCATATGGGGAGAATGAAATCACTTTTGCGCCTCAGTGCGTATCTACAACTCTTCCTTTGGGGGAGGAGGCTTAAAACAAGGAGTTNACCCAACACTACATGAAAGGGAATTGAAGTTCACCTGACTTTTCGCTGTAAGAAAGACGAAAGATTTTGGGGTTTTGTTTTACGGGTTCTTGAAATAACCCTTGAAAACATTTGACAAGTAAAATTCTCGAGGGTATAAAACAATTTAATGTATAATTTGTGGAGAAAAATCACGCAGTTGTAAACGACATCGCCATGAAATGTTCCTCGAGTCGTCGCTTTCGAGGTCATAGTGTGCATCCTCGAGTAACAGGCTTCGTGCACGCTTTTAGCCATATCATTTTTTTTCCATCGATGAATTATTTCTCAATTTCTCCATTCGAAAGGAGATAATTTGTACACCAAAATTATGCGATAAAAAGTATAGGTCAACGTGCTCGTCAAGATAGATACTTTATTATAAACACCTTGCAGCCATAGGCTGAATTACGGAATATTTACAAATACAGATGATAAAAAAGGAGGTATAAAATATTACAACTTCGTCGTTAAGAAAGAAGGAAAATGATCTACATCTTATAACTATGGCTAAAAATAAAACTGTTCTTAAAGCGCTCGGTTTTGCATATGGGGAGAATGAAATCACTTTTGCGCCTCAGTGCGTATCTACAACTCTTCCTTTGGGGGAGGAGGCTTAAAACAAGGAGTTTAAGACTTTTCTGCGTCTTCACCTGGCCATTTATTGAAAACAATTACGTGTTCTCGGAATGCGCACGTGTATTCGCCTAATTACGTACTTTTATGCACAGGACAGGAGGCGCAATGCAATAATGAGGAATCACCTTAAATGTTTGTCATTGAGACTTACTGCCCGAATAGGCTTCTTGCATCTGCCGCTTAGCAATTAAACAGAAATGGTATTAGCTACAAGTTTAAATTACGTGCAGGTCAGGAATTTCAGTATCTTATCTGCTTTTACAAATTTAGCTTTTACTTGACCATTGCTGCATTTCGTCGGGCTCCTGAATCATTTACTGATCAGCGATATTACTCGTGGATGGCGTTTCAATACAAAGCAAAAGACGGTGTGCCCCGCTACGCCAAATTTCGCCTTGTTCCCGCTTATGATAGAAAAGAAACTGGACTTATGACAGAAGAAGAGCAAAGAAAACCTTGGTAAGACCTCTTATCTATTCTTTTGAGTTTACCCCAGACAAACACGATAACTTGAGCTCACCTACCCACGATAAGCGACTAGGTGTATTGCGAAAAGAAAACTATGAATATTGCTGAAAAAATGATGCTAAGAGTAACTTTCGGTTAGTTTTTTCTTCGGAATTTTTCCAGTTTTTCCAAGCAGTTCGCCGGTACCAGTTTTAACTTATGGGAAGTAATAGGCGCGTAAAACTAGACTGCCTTTCTAAAGATCTTGCATAATGACCCAGCAAAGGCTCACACCTGTAATCTTTAAGCCAGAATTCGTGGGCTCAAAGGTAAGAGACTGCTACTGTTTTAAAAAGTTTACAATTTAAATCAACTTCACCATTTAGGTTGATCCGCCTATCTCCAATAATGACGACAGTTTTCGGAATTTGAAATTTATTTTTCCTCTTTAACTGCAGGCAAACATTCCGATGGGAGGGCGATAGAAGACCTGAAAACTATTTGAGTGCTGATTTTGAAGATCGCATGTCAGAGGGTGGCATTCAATACAAACTCCAAATACAACTACATGAAATACAACCCGACGACTCACATCTTGTGCTTCACGCGGCTAGAGTCTGGGACCCAGCCACTCACCCTTGGCTAGATCTCGCCGAGGTCAGGTTGACGTCACTCTTACCAGAGGACGTGACAAAGGGGACACGTTGTTCGTTAGGAAATATGCCTTGTATGTCCTTGTCACTCCTTCCTGCCAAGACTATCTACGACTATAATTCCATGGCGCACTTAAAATCGAAACTTCAATCAGGATCTAAAAAGCAGAGCTTTTCTTTAAGGAAGAATTCTAAATCAGAGGGAAATATGTCCATCTACTGCATTTCTGTGTTCACTGGAGACCGAAAACATGCTGGTACTAACGCCGATGTAACCCTCACAATCACTGGTACGACTAGAAATAGTTGCATATCAATTGTTTAAGTTCTTGGATAACGCTTTCCACTGGATAGATCGCTGATAGGTGGATAAGTGTTCGCAAACTAGATATATGGGGCGACATCCACCCCTCGAAGTAAGGTCACGATGGTAATTCTTACCATGGGAAAACTCGAGAATGGTTACCATCTGCCATTTGAGAATCTGGGTCAAAAACAGCTCGGATGTCGTGGCATTAAAACCAATCTAGGTATTAATTATTTTCCCTATTCTATTGTGGGTTTGTTCTTTTCTTCACCACCGTCGACTGACCTAGTCACGTCATAGACATTCACTTATAACGTTGCCGCTTAAAAGGATCCTAAACACATATTTGTTATGACTTGGCTGTGCTGTAAAAAGGTACACTGAGATAGATCACCAAAACAATCAGAGAAAACTTTTTCCCATCTAGATCTTCACTCAGACAAACCAGTGAACTTTTCAGTTATGGAGCGAAATGATGGACTCCATGTTTTTGAAATCTTCTTTAGGAAGTAGTGGAAGAACAAGACCTCTTTTGATGGACAAATGGCTCCATGACGACTTTAAGGCTGGACAAGAAGATACGTATATCCTGGCAGCAGAGGATGTTGGAGATCTGTTGATGATTAAACTACACAATGATCAGGGTGGATTGTATAGTGACTGGTTTGTGGAGAAAATCATGATTACCTGTAGCCAAAATCCTCAAAAGCTTTATGAATTCCCTTGCTTTCGATGGGTGCAGAGTGAATCCATCTTCTTTACGGGAAAAGGTAGGTATCTTATGATAACAGAAGTCCCAACAGTATAAATGAATGAAAGAATACCTTGTTAGGCACCAGTCGTTATTTATCGAGGGGTACGGAGGATTATTGGGGGATCACATGGTTTTCGGGGAAAACGGAAGGGAGGACCAGTCTTGCTGAAAGAGTATAATGGGAAGGGACTACTATGGGAAATTTACTACTAAGAGGGTTCATAAGAATATTGCAGAGCCTTATGGAGGATCAGGTAAAGTTTATTAAGACATTACAAAAATCCTCCAAACCCCAACCCCCAGGCGATAGTTCATAACTGGTCTCTTTGGCAATATTTCATGCCTCTATTGATGACAGAGTGTCGAAGTTGAAGGAAGGTCGAGGACAGATTAAAAGAATGCCTTCTGACTTTCCTCCAGCCCTTCTAGTCACAGATAAGCAGCACGAAGTGGTGCGAAGTCAAAGGCGACTCGAAATTCAACAGAGACAAGAACTGTTCCAATGGGGAGACAATCCTGTGTATCGCGGTCTACCAGGATATGTGAGGTCAGAACACTGGAAAAAGCTACCCAAGGATGTCCAGTTCACAGAGGAAGCTTTTGATGATCTTCACACCGCCATAAATAAAGCACTAGTTAATCTTGGCTCAATAAAGTTAATGAATATTTTCGATTCTTGGGAAGACTTCGATGATTATCGTAAGGTATGCATTTGCTTAATTTGACTTTATCTGTTAGGTCTTTGAAGGGAACTGTCAACATTTTGTCAAGTATGTGTTTGGGTTGTCAAAGCATGTTCCCTTTGCGTCTCATGTATTTTCATTGATAGGCTTGAAAATACTTTGAAGTTAGAGAACTCTCAGTCAACAAGCTACAGGACTTTTTATGCACAGCGTCTTAACCGAACAGTTTATGTGAAAACGTTTATGCATAAAGGTTGTTCATTTGATAGGAATATGAGTAAGTTATGCTAACTTTATAAGGAAATCTACAGCTGCCAATTTTTTTGTAGGCATTCGTTTCTTTCGTTGGTGATGTTCCAATGGCTGCCAACCACTGGCAGAATGACAGCTTCTACGGGGCACAGTTTCTGAATGGCTGTAACCCTGAGACGATCAAGCGATGTAGGGAACTACCCTACAACTTTTCTGTGACACAGGAATTGGTTGGGAATCTTCTTGACGATGGTGACACTCTGGAGAAAGCAATGAAGGTAAATAGTTATCCCAGTGCTGCACATGAAACCGTTCGGAACTGTTTTGCATCCGTGGGCAATCGAACTGATGGAGTCACGAAGTGATTGTGTGGCCAGACAACTGACGACGAAACTTAGAGACGACGAGAGATCTTAACGACTGATGGACCAAATGAACGATCGAACAATCACACATGCGTACGACTTAGTAAATACAGGGTTCATGGAGGTGCAACTGACTTACTAAAGAAGCTATGTGGCCGAGTAGTTAGGTCGGTGGGCTTGTCATCTGGTGGTCCCGGGTTCAAGCCCTTCACCCTGTTAGTCACTGGATTTGTTCTCGATTGCTACGGACTCAACTTCGTGGCTGCACCTCGTGTATAACCAACTGGTCTGCCTCCTGCCAGTTGGGTTCTTGAAACTCTGTGTTAATTTACAATGCTTATTTACAATCTGTTTGTATCGGCCATGAAAGCTGCATTGAGGGGAGTAGTCAGTTGTTGTTATTAGTATTATTATTACTATTATTGTTATATTATTATTAGTAGTAGTAGTAGTAGTAGTAGTAGTAGTAGTAGTAGAATCATTATTATCATTATCATTATTATCATTTTTAGTGTTATTAAAATTTTAATCAAGATTAATGTGCTACAGTAATGACATCATAGACAACTTTTAACTATTTCTTTATCAAAGCCTATGTGATCGATTGTAACCTTTTCATTTCCATAGCTTCTGTAAAGCTTTGTTGTTTTCTTCTTGATGATTCATCTTTAAATCATTTTCAAACTAGGATGGACGTGTTTATATGGTCGACTTAAGCATTCTTGATGGCATCCTCACTTATGGATTCATAGATGAAAACTTAGAGACGCGCTACACGTGTGCAGCGATGGGTTTGTTCTATGTCAGGGGCACTGGAGATATGGTACCCATCGCAATTCAGTTTCACCAGGGACCTGACGTGACCAACCCATTATGGACCCCTAATGACTCTGAATTGGACTGGATCTGCGCCAAGATGTGGCTGCGTAATGCGGACGTGCAGTGGCATCAAGTAAGTTTTCTAATAAGGATCTCAGCTGAAAATGAAGAGTAGGTCGAGATATTACCTCCACGGAAAGGTTCCATTTGGTCAGTGTAGCGTTTCTTAATGCACAGATATAAGCTATTCCAGCAATCTGCAAGGATGATGATGACTATTAATACCACGCTTAAGATTTGTAACACTAATAATCTTAAGGCATTTTATTTCGATCCTTCCCTTTCCCCTGCCGATTACCATCTGGCCAACGCCCATTCCTTTGTGTTCTTTATAGATGATTACGCATCTTCTTCGTACTCATCTCTTCATGGAGCCACTTGCTATCGCTAGCTGGAGACAACTTCCTTCTCTCCATCCACTGTGGAAACTATTGGCTCCTCATTTGAAGGGCGTTATGGCAATCAACACTCTTTTAAGAGAAAAGTTCCTTGCAGCTGAAGGTTTAGCGGATCAGACTCTTAGTATAGGAGGTGGAGGTGAGAGAGCTCAGTCTTAGCCATTTACCTCCCAAGATATATATCTTATCAACCAAGCGCGAGGGCCGTACTGGGAGGATATCGGCCCGAGGTCTTGACTGTACGGAACGAGCGCAGGGAGGTCCGTACAAAAAAGACCGAGGGCCGATATTCTTCCAGTACGGTACCGAGCAAGCTTGGTTAATAAGAGATTTATTATACGACTGAAGTTCAAAGGGACACAAGTGCGGTATCATTCGGGATCATTCGGGACAGTGCTCGGTCCAATACTGAGAGAATATTGGACCGGCAATAGAGCATTTTCATTGGTTGATTTTAGTTATTGGCCCTCTGACTGCCCGAGTCGTGTAATAACTGATTGTTAATTCCCCCCTCAAGCTGCTTCTCATTTACTTTTAAATTAGTTACAAGACAACTATTTCTGCCTAATAAGTTTGAATATTCTCATTACCTGTCCGTTGGATGGTGTAAGAATATTATGGGGAGAAGTTACGTGTTAATCACTTCTGGGTTAAGGACACTGAATGAATGAATGTTAACGTACCAAAGATTCAATGTATTACACGCACTTTTGACGAAAACGTAAATCAGACGGCTTTTAAAATTTCTGTGCCATGCATGTAACATTTAAGATTAGCCGTTTAGTATTTAAAGCTTTTGTTTTTTGTTTCCTTATAATGTGAAAATTTTCGTCTTTACATTTGGAACCCAGATTTACGAACCCATTCGTCCAGTTACTCGTACGAAAACCTTTGTAGTGATTTCAATGGACGTCAAAAAGTTCCTCGGTTTTCATGACGCTCAGATTTATGCCCATTACAGGTCACATCGATCTCATGAAAAAGTACTACAAGGGTATAAATTGGTCGTCTTTTGACCTTCCAAATGTCTTAAAGGAGAGAGGGGTGGACGATCCAGAAAAACTACCTGGGTTCCACTATCGTGAAGATGCCTTACGACTATGGGAGGCCATCAGTGATTTCGTCACAAGGATTGTATCCATCTATTACCACTCGGATGAGGTGATTCAAAAGGTGAGATGTGTTTTATCCAGAAAACCACGAAAATGCAATTACATATTCAATAATTTATCATTAATCAAAGATGACTTCCCTCTTTGCCAGGATACAGAACTCCAAGCGTGGATCCTCGACATTCATGACAATGGTTACACTGTCCACGAAGGAGAGGCGGACCATGGCTTCCCGTCGTCCATTGCAACCGCTGGGCAGCTGGCTCACATACTAACTATTGTTATCTTTACTTGCTCTTGTCAACACGCAGCTGTAAACTTCTCGCAGATGGACGTGTTCGGTTTCCCTCCAAATTCGCCTGGCCTCATGAGACAGCCGCCTCCAACGGAAAAAGGCACAGTGACCTTGAAAGACATAATGAAGAGTCTGCCTACTAAGCACCAGGCAGGAATTTCTATTGCAACTGTGTACGATTTCACTCGAATTTTTCCCGATGAGGTAAGTCACAATTTTGATAGTATTTAACAAATCCTGGTATTTCCCTTCGTTCGTGAGTGAAAAAGCATCTGCAAAATTTGATGGACGGCGACGTCTTGCTGAAACTACTACAGTGTATCATCAAGGTGTGTATTCAAAGCCCTTGTGCACCGGCAGACCTTCCTCTATTTAATAGTTTTTTCTTCCTTATATCAGCGAGAAATACTGACAGAAAATTTGCTTTTCAAATTGGTCTGCTTGTCCCCGTACGAAGGAAAAGCAACCAATCTTCAAAAAACTGTTCGTTTTCACCAATCAAAACATAAACGTACCAGCCCACGACAGAGGCTACCCACCCTTTTTTTTTTTTAGTTATTTTGCACACGTTTCTGTTGTAACTAGATTTTCTTTTTTTTACCCTCAAGCGTTTCCTTGGTGATTACCCTGATAGTTCCTTTACTGACATGGCTGCCAGAGACGCCATTTTACGTTTCCAAGGAAAGCTTCACAGAATTTCGGTCTCAATAAAGGAGAGGAATAAGAAGCTTAAGTTTCCATACACTTATTTGCTTCCCGAGAGAATACCAAACAGCATCGCTATCTAGACAAACATACAAAAATTTTACATGTCAACTTGTTCAGCTACTTGGTAAAAATACACATGGCTGCGATATGTTTCACAGCTAAAAAACTTTAAAAGTGAATGCTTTCCAGGAAGATCAAGAATAGAAAATATCTTAATGACCTTTGCTTAATTACATGGTAAAACGTGTTTTCATCAACTTTTGCATTGAATTAGTCTCTCCTTACAGCAATTTATTTATTTATCTAGGTGAGCCTTAATCATAGTTCTTTGCGTTTTCTTCTTCATGTTAAATCTTAAATTTCAGATGAGCCTCACTTTTTCCTTTGTATAGGAACACTTTTAATACACGAACGACTTGCTTTGAAATATCTAAAGAAATGTAAATAGAACTCGACGTATGTTAAAAACACATCACTGCCAAGAAGTATATAAATGTAATTGTTACAATGTAACGAAGGCAAATGGCAGACATTACTGTGTGTTTTTAGAAGACTGGACGTATTCTATTACTTTGGTTAAAACCCAGTTACATGTACATAGTGCCCTCAATAGTAAGCTTTATTAAATTGTTCATTAAATTCTCAACCGGCTGATGATTCTTGGATACAAACGGCAAAACCTTGAGAGGACGATGGTTTTCCACTAAATTAGACGAAGTTAGTGTTAAACTGATACTGCCGTTTAAAAGCGTAAAGGGCCGTTTCTTTGCTGAAACGAATCATTTGAAGTAAAGTTGGCTAAAATCGTAGCATTACTTTCAATTTCTTTTAACCCAATTTCAATTGTCCCTCCCCAGGGACATTGTGTTGTGTTCTTGGGCACGACACTTTACTCTCACAGTGCCTCTATTCACTCAGAAATACAAATGGGTACCGATGAATTTAATGCTGGGGGGTAACCTTGCGATGGACTTGCAATGGTCCTAGTCGCTTCATGCTACGGAAACCGGAGTTAAGTGCCGACCCGATGGGCCAATGGCTCGTAAGCAGGCTTTATCTTACCTTTTCCAGTGCCATATTCATGATTATTGAGGACGTTTAGAAAATGGTGCAAGCTGAACTTGCAGGGTATGACACTTTTTCCCATATAACCGGTGTTTTGAGCTGGCTTGCTTTTTCGTTCGTGTCCACTTATCGATATGCAGAAACATGCCTGATGCACTGAGGTAAAGAAAAAAAGCGCATTAAAACGCACAAGGCATGAAATCCCCAATTCTTTGGGGAAACTTTAGGAGAAGGAAGGTGATATATATGATGAAGCAGATGACTAATTTTTTTTTTCTAAAGAAAGTATCGTTATCAATCAGCTAACTTAAAAGAAGAATGCCAATAATCAGCTGCAGGTCCTGAAATTATTCAGAGCTCGTGACAAAAGAAGATCGAGCCCTTGAATCGAGCGTATCAAAGGTACCATTTGGGTGCAACTGCATTAGAAATTCATTCAGGCACAAAAGATTTCTTTCTTCCACAAATCTTTTAGTCACAAAATATTATGTGATAGTTTATTCTGATCGTAGGAGTGAGGAGAGTCTTGAGAAGGACTGTAGTCGTCAGTGATGACTGACGTTTCGACAACAAGAGCGTAATTCATCATCAGAGTCATCATCAGAGTCTGATGATGACTTCTACTCAGGTTGTCGAAACGTCAGTCACACGTCATATCTACGTTATGTCACGAAACGTCAGTCACACGTCATATCTACGTTATGTCACGAAACGTCAGTCACCACGTCATATCTACGTTATGTCACGAAACGTCAGTCACCACATCATATCTACGTTATGTCACGAAACGTCAGTCACCACGTCATATCTACGTTATGTCACGAAACGTCAGTCACCACGTCATATCTACGTTATGTCACGAAACGTCAGTCACCACGTCATATCTACGTTATGTCACGAAACGTCAGTCACCACGTCATATCTACCAACAACAGCCCTTATCAGGGCTACACCCACCCGGACGATCAGACTACGCTATCACGTGTTACCTCCGTGTTCAAGCCGTTTACCAAAGAGATTAATATCTTTATATGGAGCTGTGAAAAAAAAAAAGATTAATTCTTCACAAGAAATTATAGGCAGCTGTCAGAAGCGTTAACATGTCATCGATTCAGTCTAATTTATACGTAACAAGGTGGACTTAATATCCAATGCCGTTCTTCAGTGGCTTTGTTAAAGCCACATATTTACGCTGGCACGTTTTCTATGACAAACACATTGCGGAAAAATTATCTGCTGTATACATTAGCACAGTAAACTTATCATAAACACCTGTCAACAAAATGAAGCCAGCACGTCTGGAGTAAATTTTCATTTATTCAGGATTTGACCTTTTCAAATGGCCTTGACTTTGGTCACCTTGTCGATCTGCGCTACAAAATTTTGTTTTTTGCAAATTTTCCTTATGACTATCCTTAAAATATACACTAACACGTCCGTTGTGGACCACGGAAAGATGGACATAAGCCACCGAAAGTTTTGGTCTTTTAACAACAGATCGAATTAAGAAAGCATTTTAAAAAATTATCGCTATTATCTTCACCTTTCTACAGAAAATTATCAAAGGAAAAATTGTCGGGGAAATCTTGTCAAAGGGAAAATATAATACAGAATTATTTTGAATTGATGACACTAAACAACAAAATATGTCATGTGTCCATGGTTTTGCATCCTGCTTGGAGCCAATTTTCTAGGAAGAATAACAAGATGGCTCCGTTTCCTTAAATATGAAAAGGATAAAATCGTAATCTGAAATTGCCAAGATCTCAAATGATGTTAAGTTATTGATATCAACAGAATGTAATACTGCAAAACATTACACTAAAAGCACAATTTTTGCTTAGCTTTGATTAGACTACCTTAACTTGCAATTGTGATACACACTTCGAAGAACGTTTATAACAACACGTCGAATGTCCCTCATCTTCCAGCAGAAAATTATAGGGTTTAAAGAAGAATTAAGAAACACCAAGTTCCATGAAAATATCTGGAAAATCGTTTTAGATTGGTAACTCCAAGACGTAGCCACACCAGAAACGACAAACTGGACAGTCTGTGGTACGTAACAAAAGAGAAACACGAGATAGATATACAAGGCCACCAGGGCAGAGTTTCTAAGACTCGCCTCATTTGCCATTTGACCAAAGTTCCGAGCTGAAATTTGTTGTTGCACTTGGTGGTTAAAGCGTTGCAAGACTGCAAAAAGTTTAGCGAAGACCACAGTCGTCAGCACTATGCAAATAAAGTTTTTAGCAGCAAAAGTCACGAAAATAATATTCCTTGGAATCAGCAGACCAAGGGATGAAAGCAATGCGCTGATGATCCACACCAAGATGACCGCGGCAGCAACGCGCCTGTGAGTCACAAGTTGCTGATATCTGAGATGAAGATGGATGGCAAGAAATCTGTCCAAACTGAGAGCCGTAACTCCGAATAACGAGGCAGAAGACAGAAGACCCGTGAAAAAGATAAAAAAGCTGTAACGTGTACAGCTAATGGCTGTATTTCCCAACAACAAAACGGCGATGAAAAAGGGCTGAATGATCAAACCAACGCAGAGATCTGTAACAACAAGGTTAAGCAGCAAAGTTTTTAGCTGTTTTGACAACGAAGAAACTTTCCGCATCGCGTAGAGAGTGACACTGTTTAGCATGATTGTTGAGTGAGACAGAAATGCAGTGAGGATACAAATGACAATGTACCACGAATATGTTTTTTCGGTATCGGACGTTAAAGGGTTCAGTTCGTCGCAGAGGTTATTCATAGCTTTCGTGATACACCCAAAAATATCCTACGTGACTACGCGAATTAAAAATAAAGGCAGCTATAGCAATAAAAAACGCGTAACCCTTCCGTTTCTCCTAAGTATCTAAGATTAAAAATTACGATATGCATTATGTGGAAAAAGTCATGAAACTGTGCTTATTTGTCAGTCGGAGAGACGCTAATGTGACAGGTCTTGTCAGTGATAACAAAAGATCATCGCCTTGTTATCAACAAACTTTTTTAGATATAAACCAAGCTTTCACCTCTCTATCCTTTATTGCTAAAACTGACAAAGATACAGGATAAACAAAACCAGTGTGTATTGTTCTGTCACTAGGGAAAAATTTTAAAATTCACCATAATCTACAAAAATTCATGTTACAGTTGAAATATGTGTACAAGAAGAGGAGAGCACCGCCCGTTGTTAATATTCAGAGAGATAATCAAAGTATTCCACCTGCCTTCGCTGGTAATCTTACGCCAGCCTTAGTAATCCATTATTACAACTCCATGGGGTAGGTTTCAAATCAAACTACCATAACGAGATCATAGAAAGCAGCCAATGCCTAATCTAGTTACAACACCTGCACCTTTCCTAATTGTCAACTTGGCATATGACATTTTATAACTATTTTCCGCAAAAGGTTTTCTTTTATTCTTATCCAGAATGTAAATGATGTAGATTGTGCATGATAATAATACAGTCGAAGTTGTAATTCAAGTGGTAAATGCCATGTACCGAGAAAAATCATAAGTAAAATCCCCAAACCTAATGAGCGTAGATCTTGTCAGTGATTCACGCCTTGTTAAAAAAAAACCTAGCTATATTTTAGTTTAAATTTTTTTTTCCTTTGTTACATATTAAAAATGCTTGACTTAAGAGGAGTGTCGCAAGCGATCCAAAGCAAATATAATGGGTGACTTTCAATGAGAAGCCATTTTCTCATCAAATGCCCGTTCGCCTATGACATTAAGTGATCTGTCTATTTTTACATGGTAAATTCAGGCATCTCTTCCACTAAAGTGGTCAAGGTTTGCACGAGTCAATAATTAATAGTTTTTTTTTGTTCCCATCTTAACGCGAATTGAGGATGTCGAATGGAATGGGCCAGTATTAAAGCCCATCTATTATGAACTTTTTCGTTATTTCTCCATTCTGTTCTTTTCCTTCTTACAGAGGGATATCGAGATACAGGCTGCATGCGTATTCCGCTGGATAACAATTGTTTAACAGACAAGAACTGCGCTCAACTAGACTATCGTCCCATCCATACATGTACTCAAAAATGATAAGATCTTTGTGTATCTCTGAGAAATGAGTTTTGTAATTTTGCCCTTACCGAATGTCTATTGTTCTTGAGACATTTACTTGCAGTAGCGAAAAAATTATAGATCTGTATGATATTAGCGGTGAAACGTATTTTGGAGAGCTATCACCGGTCAAATATCACGCGCGCACTCCTCCTCAGGGAATATGGGTTTAGCTAATTAACTTGTCAAGGTGGAGCAAAGAAACAATAGTCATTGTTTATGCCGTTGTTAGAAAAAAAGTCACACATTACGTGCGTGTCTTACAAGCTAGAATAGTGCTCGATTTTGAAACCGTTCGTTACAGATTCATCTCTTCCTTTAATCTTACTGAACAAACACGTTCATTCTATCATTTCCCGTTTAGGATTCGATTTTCGTCGGAAAAAAGCACTCGCACAATTTTTCCATAATGAAAAGGAAGTAATGAAGCACTTCAAGTCACTCTGCCACACTGCGTTAAGAATGAACTTGCGTAGTGATCAGTTCGACTGCCTAACTAAAGGT